AATAATTTTTGTCAAATTTAGGATCCCACCTATAAATTACACTAATTTAATTTGATTGATGTGTACTGATCCAAATTTGTATGATGATCTTTGATCATGTTATTTATATGATCAAAATAATTACATGGCCAAAAATAAAATTTGTATAATCAGCTTTAATCATATTTGAACACTGCATGTTTTTCCCTTCAATTATAGCTACACAATTCAGGTCTAATGGTGTTAACCACGTTAAAAATGGATCCTTCTCCCCCTTAAACTGGGTTCAATTCCGTTCCATGTCAACTTGTTAAAAAAAAAAAAAGTTATAGCTACACGTCAACCAAAATACACTTTTAGATAATGGGACGAATGGATTGGATGTGGAAATTTCCGGTGGGCTTGGCCATGTTGTTGGGCTGGTTCGTTCATTAATGGTGTTTGGTTGGTGCAAAATTTTGATAGGTGTGCCCAAGGAAAATTTATCTAGTAAATGGAAAGGTGACCGAAGTGTGGGTGGATAGGGTTGTTGTGCTTGCTGTGTAATTTGTTGATACAGAAATTTTGTTTCATCGAAGTAAACATGTGACGAAATAATCAGTTTAATAGTTGCCAGATCCAATCAACCATATCCCTTCCTGGTGAGCATGAGTATCCCAGGAACAGACAGAGTAGTTCAAATAGCTAATTTATAGGAAACTATAACTAGAATATTTTATAATTAGTTATATAAAAAGAAATAATGAAAGAATAGTCTAATAAACAGTAATAAAGCAAAAAATAGGAGTATAGATTTAAATTCTGGATTTTTCAGTTCTAACTCGTCTCTGATTTAAGAGAGTGGTTAAAAAAAAAAATGTATGTTATATATCTTACAAATTGAAAAGAGAGTGGGTACTATTTAGCATCAATTGACTAATACAACACTTCTACTCTAAGTCAAGAAATAAAGATGTTCCCATCTTTTCAGTTGATGTAGGTATCCAACAATCTATAACGAGGAAATGGCAAGAGCAGAAAATGGAAATTTCCATCGATGAGGCTTTAGGTTCCTTCCTTGCTTGCAAATTCAAACTAGGCTGCCTAAGCACTCCATCTTGCACATCATCGTGGAGTAAAAATCTGAACTTTAGAATCATGTGAGGAGCACCAACTGGTTTTACTTGCTTTCTTGGAGCTTGATTTGGATCTATTATATATTTTCCAGCAGCAACGAGAAATTCAAGCGTAGAACCACTGGCGCCGCTTCTGCAACTAGAAATCTAGGCATAGTACTTAGCAGAAGCAATTGATCAGTCCTTTATCTTGTATGCTCTTACCCATTGTTCTTTCTTTTACATGCTTCAGAACAACTTCAAAATGTTCAAAAGCATCCTCCATATTTGTGACACATACCTGGAAAAGGGAAAAAGGTAATTGACATTCAAGTACACATGACATAACGAAATAGTGAATAAACAAGCAAAACCCAATGGGCAATGAAACATTTCCATTTTCACGAAACATTCATACTATGCCTTACAGAACAATATCTGTTTCAGAATCATCATTCTTGTCCCTAACTCCGGGGAAGTCAATTAAGAGAATCCTTCTTGTGAGTGTTATGTATTGCCACACCAAAGTCTCAATCGGAGCAACTTTGCAGACTTTGAAAGCAAACAATTTTATTAGTTGAACTAAACCACTGATCTTAAAAAAAGGGTAGATAAATGATGCTTAAAACATAACTGTTGTTCACAAATCATAATATTACCGTAAACTCTGTTGGCTACAATTTTGAGAAACACACATGATACTACACCTAAGGCATTTAGAGAAACCAGATTTTATATTGAAGTTCTCAATTTTAAGGGAGGTAAAAGCATTTCAGACAGGGTTTGGAACATAGTGATATTTGTATGCAGTAACATGTATGAGCTTATGTATTGCTTCAACATTCAAGGGTGCAGAAACACAAATTATCAAAAGTGATGCAACAAAAGAAGCCATCGCAAGCTAACATATGTGGCTATTTGCTGAGTGAATACAAGTTATAATCTAAAAGAGTAGAAATGTTTTGGCATA